GTTAGGAATAAACCATAGGGGAGTTTTCTTCTTGCTTCTGGCTAAACCTTGGGGAGACGTCTCTTTCTTGTAACATTTCCCCACACTAATCCAGGGTGTGAGGAGTTTGTTGATCCCAACACCCTTCTCCCATATTATAAGTGATTGAGAACTGAAGGGGGGAATCCCTCACAAATTTCAGTTACAGAAGCAATGGCTGGAGATATGTGTGAATGTGTATGTGAGAGAGAAATACCTCCCAGCTTCCACTAGAGAGATTTCACTCAGTCTTTCTTTCACACACTCCAATCAGCCCCTGCACCCCCCAGCTGAGAAAGCAACGAATGCTAAAATCCCTACCTTGAAGTGCTGCTCTCTGCCTCTCTCCCACTCAGCCTGTGTCAGTACCTCCTCCTCTTACTGCCTCGTCGCCATCTTGCATTTAAAAAACTACTGCACTTTTTTTGGGGAGGGGTGGGTAACTGAACTGTGAACTTTGAACTCACACAGCACTTTAAACCCACCCACCCTAAGCACACAGACCCTGATTTTATCCCTTAATTAAAACTGCATTTCCCCCTGGACTCTATCTATGCTATGATCTGAGTGTGGGAAAAGAGTGTAGCAATAGGCAGTGTCTCTCTCTCTCTCACTCACTCACCCAATCATACATGAGAGCAGGAGCAGCAGAGAGGGGAGGAGCTGCTCCAGCAGTGATACAATCTCCTCTCCTCTGCGTGTGAAGCTGGGGAGTGGTAGTTGCCACCATTTATAAAGCTGGCACAACAGAAGGCTGCCCTGTGATTGGTCCCAGTAAGGTTCCATTCCAGCCATAGGGATCAGGGCAAGAGATTGCACAAGGCTAATGATCACATGGATGACTTCCACACATCTCACCCACGGAGCTGCTAAGGTAAGACCCAAGAGGCAAAGCCTATCCGGTCCCCAGGCTGTGTGTGTGTGTGTGTGTGTTTCTCTCTCTCCTAGCTCTTCTCAGGTTACAATGTAGTTGTGTTAACTAAGGCAGCAAATTATTATAACTTTTTTTGTCTAATTTCCTTTTCACTATTTGTGCTATTTGTAAGTGTCTGAAATGAATAAATGCAATCAAGCCAATTAGATAGTTTCATTTTCCAGTTTACACATTAGCAGAGTGCTGCAATGTCTGGGTTTCAAACATTTTTTTCTTTCTGTGTTGGAAACACTGAAAAGAGTGGGCACTGTAGGTGACCTTCAAGGAGGAAAAAGATCCATTGTTCTCTGCTCTTTTTGTTTCTTTACCCGTAGAGCTGGAGCAACAACTATAGTGAAGTGACTTACCACTTTCCATTATAAGACTGTTTTCAGTTACTTAGAACTTTACCACATTTCAGCTGGTTGGGCAGAAATGTCATATGCCCGGCATCTACCTCAGAGTGATTTTTTTTGTTAATATTTCAGAAAAACTGGTTCAATCTTTCTCAGAATGAGGGGAATGATAATTGTTTTTTTCCACCTTCTTTCCTAATTCATCACAAATGAGTAATGCCTGTCAACTGTGGAATTCAGAGGTGGGCCAGTAGTGTTGCTGGAGGCTCCAGGACTCAGCCAGGGAATGTTTCTATGAACAGGTACTGAGTGTGATCTTGTCCATGAATGGCTTTAGATTCATTACTTGCAACCTAAGCCTTGCTGTCTTCTAATAGCCATTTAAGACTTTGGGTGCAGCAGGTAGAAAAAAAAGGTAGTCTTGCACAGGAATTGTAAGCTCTGATAGACACTCATTTTGTCTGGTCATATTGAGGATTGTGTTAGTTTGGGAAGAAAATGCATCAAGATTTCCTTGGAGATCCAGCTCCAGATTTTTTCCTTTTGTTAGGGGATTAGTCCCTTCTTGAATACCATTGATGTTGAGAGAGACCAACGGATTGCTATGCAGGTTTTGACAGTGAGGGATGAGGTCTCTTTGTATTCTCCACTACTAATTTCTCTGTTTCCCCAAACATCCTCAGACCTGTGCATTTGGATGCACAGAATATCTGGTTATGATGACTGGTTGCTACTGATTTAACACAGCTTTCTTGTAGCCTCTGAGGTAGGAGCCATCCCCCACCGCCCATTACATCAAAGATTTTACCACAATATGAACCTGAGGCCTGTCATATTCAAAGCAAGGATATATCCCTAAATGATAAGCCACTTGTTTACCACCAAGTAGGTTTTCCTTACTAAGGCCATGTTTACCCTACAATCTTTGGTGGTTAGTTATGTCAGCAGACGGCTGCCAAAATTTTTATAAGTGCTTTCTTCAGCACTGCAAGTACTCACCAGGAATGCTTGGGTAAATGCAAAGTTGATGCACCATGGGTAGTTATCCCAGTGTGCCATGCACTGCTGCATAGTACAATACCTTTTGGGATAGAAATGACTTGCCTAGGAACGTCCAGGGAGTAAGGGGTCAAGTTCCCAGAATGCAACTTTCTCCATCCCATGCCACTCATATATCATAATTACTGTGCCTTTAAAAAAAATCCACATGGCACTTTTTGGTCTATATATATATATATATATGGAGATATACCTATCTCATAGAACTAGAAGGGACCCTGAAAGATCGAGTCCAGACCCCTGCCTTCACTAGCAGGACAAAGTACTGATTTTGCCCCAGATCTCTAAGTGGCCCCCTCAAGGATTGAACTCACAACCCTGGGTTTAGCAGGCCAATGTTCAAACCACTGAGCTATGCCCCCCCCGCCATCTCTGCCAGAAGCAAGGAGCCAACAGAGATCTGCACTATAATCATGAATGTTGCAAATACAGGATGCACAATGCTCTTGTATTTACAGACTTGCAGGAAGTACTGCAACAACAGGGGTATGCCAATTTCTTCTAGGACAGCTTGCTAAGGGACATAGCGAAAACAATATAAGGCTGGTGGTGGCATCCATGGAGCACTTGCAGATGGTGGTGCACCATTTGTGGGTTTGAGAAATGAGCACTGACTGGTGGGATCACAACTTAATGTAGGTTTGGGATGACAGGCGGTGGCTGCCGAACTTTCCAATGTGGAAGGCCATATTCCTGGATCTGTGTTCAGAGCTTGCACCAGCCCTCCAGTGCAAGGACACCAGAATAAGAGTGGCATTGACAGAGGAGTGGTGATCACACTCTGGAAACTTGCAACACTGGACTGCTATTGGTCAGTGGGAAATCATTTTACAGTTTGAAAAGCCACAGTGGGGGCCATCGTCATGCAAATATGTATGGCCATTAATCTTCTCCTGCTACACAGGACAGGCAGTGTGCAAGGACATAGTGGATGGATTGTAGCAATGGGGTTCCCAAACTGTGGTAGGGGGACTGACAGCACACATATACCTACTTTGGCATCAGCCCACTTTGCCACAGAGCACATCAACCAAAAGGGCTACTTTTCCATGGTTATGCAAGGGTTGGTGGATTGGGGAGATTCACTGATATCAATGTGGACTGATCAGGGAAGATGGATGAAATTCCTATGTTTAAGAACAAAGGGCTGTTCAGAAAGTTGAAAGCAGGACATTCTTTCCTGACTGGCAGATTACCATTGGTATTGAAATACCAACAGTGATTCTGGGGGACCTAGCCTACCACTTCCTCATGAAGTTGTACACTGGCTACCTCGACAGCATCAAGGGAAGAGTCAGCTACCAGCTTAGCATGTGCAGAATGACCATTGAATGTGTTTTTGGAAGACTAAAGGAACGCTGTCAACGTTTACTCACACTATTGGATCTTGGTGAGAAAAACATCCCAATGGTTATAGCTGTTGTTGCGTCCTGTGTAATATCGGTCATGCAAAGGGGGAAAGCTGCTGCTCGGGTGGAGGTGGAGTGGCTTTGAGCAGCCAGACACAAGGGCCATTGCAAGAACCCGATGTGGAGCTATGCAGTTGACGAAGGCTTTGAAAGAGCACTTTTAACAGTCACCTCACTAGTGTTCTCTGCTGGACTGTTCTCTGGGCCTGAAGCTTTGGGTGCTGTTAGTAACTGAGCATTTATAAATATTAGACTGTTTTACTGAAGCTCGCTGTACATGATCAGTTGCACATAACAAAGGAGAGCTCCTAGGTGCACCCAACAAGGTAGAAAATCAGGAAAAAGGATTTCAAAAATATGCAGGGGACTTGGGGAAATGGCTTCCAGTCTCCGTGACCCCTGGGCAGTAGAGTTTAAAATTGTGACCAGAGTGGTCACTGTCGCAGAGAACGGGGGCATTGTGGGACTGCTGCTACAGGGTCAACACAGGTCATGCACGGTCTACATTCGCGCAGAGTTGACCTCAGTAGGTCAACCATAGCTCTATGTCATTAGGGAAGGTGGTTTTACTTTGTCACCATCATGGGGTGCTTATGCTAGCCAGAGACAAATTTTAGCGCACAAGTAGGTTGATGCAAGGCGACTTACGTTGAGCCAACTTTAGAGTGTAGCCCAGGCCTAAGTGTAGGAAATGACTATAGTTGAGGCTTTGAAATTTCTGGGGGGGGGGAAGGAGGAGAGGGGGTCTTCACTTTATGTGGCCTATAGGATCTTTGGAAAAGAAATCCTTTTCTGAAGGTGTGAGGTCTTTCACTGGTACAGCTACTGCTGCACCAAAACTTAGGTTTCCAAAACCTAGGAATTTTTGTTGGTTTTATGTAATGCTTTTAATATTTGGTTTTATCCAGAAATCTCTATTTAGATCTTATAAGATCCTCAAAGGAGGTGCTACGTCAATTTGCAAGCAAATCTGCAACTGCCCCTTTCTGCTTGTGCATTACACAACTCCTTAGTTACATAATCAAATATTTCTCAAATATTTTTTTACAATTTTAAATACATTTTTTCATGTTTTTGTTGTCATAATTGTACAGTATATCTTAATTGACTTATGCAGCTCTTTGAGTGAACACATGTGGGAGGGGACTGCTGGGCAGACTGATCTCAATAGACCAAAAGCCCTCCTGCTCTTCCAGTTTACTATTTATCATACTAAAGGTAGCATAAAAAAAACACAATTAGATATAAGCAATGTAAAGCCTTTACTTGATCTTGTCTCAATATATTTTAATATATTTATACATGTATATGCACTCTGATATTGAACTATGCACAGGTTACAAAGGAGCATAAAATTAAAGTAAAAGGTAAGAAAAGTAGAAATCAGTTAATTTTAGATATTATGATCTTCAGTTTGCTTGAAGACTGCAATTTCTTTTTTCATTTCCTGAAAGAGAACAAAAAGCAACAAGCATAAGTGTAAACTGTTGGAAATCCTATTTTAGATATATATATTTTTAAAAAGATTTGTAAATATCACTAACCGTTGTATATATTTGACAGATTCAGCTAAAGTAACTATAAGGAAAAAAAGGTTACTCACCAGTAACTGTTTTTCTCCAAATGTATTGCTTTTGATTATCTACACTGTAGAGTTATGTGCCCTCCACATGAGAGAGAGAGAGAGTCCTTTCTGGACACATTCACATTCAGGATTCTAGAATCAATGGCATAAAAGCCACCTAACTGTCCTTTCCTCTCTAGCTTCAGATACATCCTTACATATCCAAAATAAAGGGAAAGATGGAGAGTCAAGGGTTGATCCGCAGAGGCAATACTTTCAGTGACCATGCAAGCAACCAGTTGTAGGTAGGATACAACCAGAGCTGAAGGAATTATTCTATTCAGATAGTATCATTATTCCCAGACATTCTGCCTCTTGACACAAGAAGAAGACAGAGCTTTCCCCTTGCCTGTTCAACCACCACGTTTTCCCAAACAACACTAGGGCAATCTGCACCTGCCTTTCCTTCTTTGGATTAGAGGAAAACATAAAACAACCCCCGATAGCCCTAAACTCCAAAAGATTTGTGCATTCTGCATTCCTTGAGCCCAATGTTCTAAATGAGTTCCCCTCTCATGCTCGAAACATATCACTATGGATGGATTCTGGGTTGAGAATGGCATCCATTTCAGGACATTGTTTGGATCCAAGGAAGCCACCTGCATTGTTGCACAATCAGAACAGAGGATCTTTTCTGATCATCAGATGCAGAAGACTGGATTCTGGATGACCAGTGCTTGGAGGAGGAAATCTTTCTTTTAAGAGATGTAGAAGGATCAGCAGAGCAACTGGAGCCATTCATAAATGAACAGCTCAAACATTAGGACAAACATCCATGTATTTTGGCTCTAAAGACTAGATTTCAGACCACCTAAGAGTCTCAATGTTGGAATTGCCTGATGAGCAGAAATCTTCAGGAGGCATCAAAGGTCCACAAGTCTGGCTGAACATGAAGTCTCTTCATGAGAAAGAGTTTGAGAATCATGCTCTCTGTGTAGTTACTGTAAATCTGCACAGGCAGAAAACAGTCTTTAAGAACGACATTAAAGATGTTCAAGCATTGGACAAGTTAGCCAAAGATTTTGAGAGCGCGCGAGAGATCGTTTAGTGGAAAAATGGTTACCTACCTTTCGTAACGGTTGTTCTTTGAGATGTGTTGCTCATGTCCATTCCAAGTAGGTGTGTGCGCGCCGCATGCATGATTGTCGGAAGGTTTTTCCCTAGCGGTACCTGTTGGGTCGGCTGTGGAGCCCCCTGGAGTGGCGCCTTCATGGCAGTGTATATAGGTCTCTGCCAACCTGCCGCCTCTTCAGTTCCTTCTTGCCGGATACTCAGAGAAGGGAGGCAGGTGGGTCTTGGAAAGGACATGAGCAACATGTCTTGAAGAACAGTTACGAAAGGTAGGTAACCATTTTTTCTTCGAGTGATTGCTCATGTCAATTCCAAGTAGGTGACTTCCAAACAGTCGCCCGGAGGAGGGGTCAGAGTTCACTGAGTTGCAGACTGCAGCACTGCTCTACCAAATGTGGCATTGTCTCTAGCCGGCTGTGTGATGGCGAAGTGAGACGTAAAAGTGTGAAGAGATGACCACGTTGCTGCCCTGCAGGTATCCTGAATGGGGACCTACGCTAGGAATGCTGCAGATGAAGTTTGCACTCTCGTGAAGTGCACCGTCAATGTTGGGGCTGGTATCTTTACCAGGTCATAGCACGTCCTGATACAGGCTGTGATCCAAGAAGAGATTTGTTGGGATGAGACTGGCAGTCCTTTAATTTAATAGAATATCAGGATTGGAAGGGACCTCAGGAAGTCATCTAGTCCAACCCCCTGCTCAAAGCAGAACCAATCCCCAGATAGATTTTTACCCCATATCCCTAAATGGCCCCCTCAAGGATTGAACTCATAACCTTAGGTTTAGCAGGCCAATGCTCAAACCACTGAGCTATCCCTCCCCTCTATCAGCAATGGCGATGAGGAGTTGCATTGGACTTCCTAAACAGCTTTGTCCGCTCAATGTAAAAAGCCAGTGCCAGTCTAACATGTAGGGAATGGAGCATGCGTTCCCTGTCATTAGCAGGTGGCTTTGGGAAGAACACTGGTAGAAAAATGTCCTGATTTGCAGGAAATTGTGAGACTACTTTAGGGAAAAAGGCCGGGTGCGTCCGCAAGTGCACCTTGTCCTTATAAAACACTGTGTAAGGGGGCTTAGACATTAAAGCTTTGAGCTCAGACACTCTTCTGGCTGAAGTTATAGCCCTAAGAAACACCACTTTCTAAGAGAGATAAAGCAGAGAACAAGTTGCTAGAGGTTCAAAAGGGGGCACCCCATGAGCCGTGAGAGGACCAGGTTAAGGTCCCATGGAGGGGCCGATTGCCGCACCTGTGGGTACAACCTCTCTAGCCCAGCAGCCAGGTGCACCTTGATTGATGAGACTGCCAGCCCTAGATGCTTTAGGTAGAGTAAGTAGTCCAGTATGAAGGGGATTGCGGACTGCAGCAGAGGAGTGCCCTTCTGTGAGGACCAAAGAGAACCTTTTCCACTTGGCCAAATAAGTGGCGCAAGTGGAGGGCTTTCTACTGCCAAAGAGAACCTCCCTAACCACATTGGAGCACTGGAGCTCTAACAATTTAGTCATGGAGTTTCCATGTGGTGAGGTGGAGAGACTCCAGGTTGTGGTGCTGAAGGCGGCCAGGGTCTTGCGTGATGAGGTCTGGAATCATGGGCAAGGTCATGGGCATGTCCACCGAGAGGTCCAACAGCATGGAAAACCAGTGTTGGCGGGGCCACGCCGGGGCTATGAGAACCAGTGATGCCTTGTCCTGCCAGACCTTGAGGAGGACCTTGTGGATGAGAGGAAATGGTGGGAACGTGTACAGCAGGCGACATGTCCACGAGAGGAGAAAGGCGTCAGCGATCAAACTGGGGCTGTGATTCAGGAAGGAGCAGAACTGCTGGCACTTCCTGTTGCTTCATGTCGTGAACAGGTATACCTGGCGAGATCCTCACCTCAGGAAGATATTGCTGACAACATCCGGTTGGAGAGACCATTCGTGGCCGTGAAAGGATTTGATGAGGCAATCAGCCAGTTCGTTTTGTGTACCCAGCAGATACGACGCCTCCAACTGTATCGGGTGCTAGGGGAAAACCTTTCCACGATTGTGCTTGCGGTGCGCACACACCTACTTGGAATTGACATGAGCAATCACTCGAAGAGCAAGAGAAACGCCCCTTTCTGCTCCATGTCTAATAAAGTAGACGAATCCTTCATGAACACAAACCTGAACACTACCCACAAAAAACAAGCTTAAATGACTATACTTGCAAAATAATAAAAGATTAATCCGCCACAGGGACAAGTTGGATTTTGTGCCTGCACTGGCAAGCTAAAAGAGAGGAAATAATAGAGAGTGGGGCCCTTTTTGTATACTTTTTGATCCAAAATGCTGGCTCTGAAGAGTACATATGTGGTTTAATGTTTTGAAAAAAATTGTGTGGGTGAGACTGTCTCCATGTTCAATTTTTTTGTCTGCTGAATCTGCCAACAATTGTGCCAAATACGATGGTGGTTTTGTGATATGGATACATGTCCGTTAGACTGATCAATAATTTATTTCAGACAGGCTACTAAGATGTGGAGAGATTAGTGAAAATGAAACAAGATAATCTTTACATCAGGAATACTCATAAATATCAGTTTTATAAGTAGAATGCAGTTGATTATTTAACATTTAAAAGAGTGATTTAATATTTAATATTTAAATATGTTTACCTGTATTAATTTGGTCTTGTCATAGTCTTTGCGATGTCGATAAATACATTGGCTGAGTATTGCATAAAGTTTTTCCAAGTGAAATATATTGTAGTCTCTACTTTTTTCGGTGACAATCTTTAACAGTTTCTGGGGGGGAAAATGTATACATTTAAAATTGTGTTAAAAATCTGCACTGGCTTTTGACAATCTGAACATATATAATAAAGACAAGACATTTCAATGGCAAAATAACTGGGGACTTTTGTATCATTAACAAAAAAGTAATACACAAGAGAATAGTTTTCAGAAAGAATTGAGCTATGCCTGTTAGTGTTAAGTAAAAATAGTTATTTTTTTATACTTCAGAGAAAAAGGAAGCCTGAAAATTCTGAGCCAGACCAGCAATAGCACACTGTCATGTGAGAGATTACTGTTACAAGTTAACTCTTCTCCCAGAACAGCAGGAAGTGACTCTTAAATGACTAAGCCATTCCAGCAGTAACTACATCTTGCCTCACTTGACAAGAGGAATGGATGTTGAAATGCAGTGCCTTCAGGAGTGGGTGTCAGGCCATAAGATGCCCTTAAGTTTCATTCACCCCAAGGAAATATAGCCAGATAACCCAGAGAGTCAGTGGGCTGGGAGACAAAAAGAACGAGGAGTACTTGTGGCACCCTTAGAGACTAACAAATTTATTTGAGCATAAGTTTTTGTGGGCTAAAACCCACTTCATCGGATGCATGCAGTGGAAAATACAGTAGGAAGACACACACACACACACACACACACACACACACACACAGAAAAAATGGGTGTTGCCATACTAACAATAATGAGAGTAATCAATTAAGGTGGGCTATTATCAGCAGGAGAAAAAAAAACTGTTGTAGTGATAATCAGGATGGCCCATTTCCAACAGCTGACAAGGTGGTGAGAGTAACAGTAGGGGAAAAAAACATTAGCGTGGGGAAATAGGTTTTACTTTGTGTAGTGACCCATCCGCTCCCAGTCTTTATTCAAGCCTAATTTAATGGTGTCCAGTTTGCAAATTAATTCCAATTCTGCAGTTTCTCACTGGAGTCTGGTTTTGAAGTTTTTTTTGTTGGAGTATTGCGACTTTGAGGTCTGTAACTGAATGGCCAAGGAGGCTGAAGTGTTCGGACTGGTTTTTGAATGTTAAAATTCTTGACATCCGATTTGTGTCCATTTATTCTTTTACATGGAGACTGTCCGGTTTGGCCAACGTACATGGCAGAGGGGCATTGCTGGCACATGATGGTATATATCACATTGGTAGATGTGCAGGTGAACGAGCCTCTGATAGTGTGGCTGATGTGATTAGATCCTATGATGGTGTCCCCTGAATAGATATGTGGACAGAGTTGGCAACGGGCTTTGTTGCAAGGATAGGTTCCTGGGTTAGTGTTTTTGTTTTGTGGTTGCTGGTGAGTATTTGCTTCAGGTTGGGGGGCGGTCTGTAAGCGAGGACTGGCCTGTTTTCCAAGATCTGTGAGAGTGAGGGATCGTCCTTCAGGATAGGTTGTAGATCCTTGATGATGTGCTGGAGAGGTTTTAGTTGGGGGCTGAAGGTGACGGCTAGTGGCGTTCTGTTACTTTCTTTGTTGGGCCTGTCCTGTAGTAGGTGACTTCTGGGTACTCTTCTGGCTCTGTCAATCTGTTTCTTCACTTCAGCAGGTGAGTATTGTAGTTGTAAGAATGCTTGATAGAGATCTTGTAGGTGTTTGTCTCTGTCTGAGGGGTTGGAACAAATGCGGTTGTATCTTAAGAGCTTGGCTGTAGACAATGGATCGTGTGGTGTGGTCTGGATGAAAGCTGGAGGCATGTAGGTAAGTATAGCCACAGACTTTTCCAGGGGAAAGGGGCTGAGATTCTTCAACTTGCCCCATTTGGTCTGCTCTACTGTGGAACAGGAGATGACGGAACAAACAGAAGCAGCTCAATTAGGAGGTGGTCCCATTCAGGGCTGAAAAGCCCCAGAAATTTTGGTCCCTCAAAGAGGAGCAGAAGGAGGAAAGAATTTTCTCACTGCTGCATCACCCCCCAAAAAGCTTTAGAAGCTGGGATAGCAGTGGTAAGGCTGTGAAAATGTGCGCATTGTTGTCTGGGTGGCTCGTACTGTGTCCTCGAATGAGGAAGCCCTAAGGAAGCAGTCATCCAAATATGGGTAGATAACAATACCCAGTGTTTGCAGGCACGCCACTATGACAGAGAGAACCTTGGAGAATACCCTGGGTGCGGACGAGAGGCTGAATGGGAGCACTCTGTACTGATAATGATCCTGGACAGTGATGCTGTAGGAAACGGTCTGGCAGACTCTCAAGAGACACTATATGCCCGCCCAAGGATCCCAATACAGCCATTGGGGGGGGGGGGGGGGGGGGGAAGGACATAGGTGGTGGAGGTGCCCAAAGAGGCCTGTACCATGATTGCAGGTCAGCTCGATGGAACTGGTGGCCTCGGTGCTGGCATCTGCACCAGTCTCTGTGCCGAGGTCCGAACCCGCCGCAGTGCCACGTGGTGGGAGAAGGTCCCTGGGCAGTGGAGGAGCACGCACTTCCGAGGCGACGGACTGGGACCCTCTGGAGTAGGGACAATGGGCCTGATGGCCCGCCTGCATGGTCCAGAATGGCCACTTTGCCGACCGCAGCACCACAGGGGGGCGCTTGACCTGCCTCCTGCATATAGCAGCACTGTTCTGACCAGTGCTGGCTGCACCTCAATAGTAGGAGTCCACCTCTGAGTCCAATGACTGAGACTCCAAGCATGGAGACCATGGCAGTGCCCAGTGGGACGGTGTCGGGGAATGGTGCCAAGGGGAAGTTGACAGCGCCGCGCTCACTTGAGGTGCTGGAGGTCTGTCTCGCCTGGCAGAGGACTGCCGTGCAGTCATAGCAATCAGGTCCCTAGCCGCCTTGAATGTGTCTGGGGTGGAAGGGAGCTCCAACTCCTCCACCTGACACACTCTAACAGGAGAAGCCATTGGCACTGGACTCAATGGACACCTGTGCTGGCCCGAAGTCACCAGTGCCACCTCCTGAGAGATAAGCACCAGGTGCTCCTGCATGGGACGTACATCGTTAGCGGTTTGTCCCAGCTGCTCTAATCGTGGGCGAGCGCCCTCTATAAGTCTTCTTGTGAGGCACCAGTGAGTGCAAGCATGCTGTGCTGCTGGCTGAAGATGCGGACTTCGATGCCGGGGAGGGACAGTGTTGAGGGTTTCTATGCATAGAGTTTCCATGGTGCCGTAGCCTCTCTAACCAAGGCCACTGCACTCCGGATGTGCAGAGTGCCGGGTTCAGCTGGCCCGGGGCCGGTTGGGGGATGAAGGGCTGCCTCCATGAGGAGTTGCTTAAGCCTGAAGTCCCTTTTCTTCTTGATTCTAGGGTGGAATCCTTTGCAAGTCTTGCACTGATCTGTTTGATGGGATTCCCCCAGGCACTTCAAGCAGGTGTCAGGAAAATAGCCCTTTGGCATCAGTTTGTGGCAGGTCCCGCACAGTTTAAAACCTTGGGATCGAGGCATGCCTTGAACTCTAAGAGGGGGAAACAAATGTGGGGGAGGGCCCCAAACACAAACTAACTGAACTACAACTAGTACCATCTAACTATTTACAGGCTGGAAGAATAAAAACCACTAGGGGAACACTTGCCGAAGCAAAAGAGACGAGACACTCAGCTCCAATGACCATCACTGGCGGTAAAATGGAACTGAGGAGGCGGTAGGTTGGCAGGGCCCTATATGCGGCACCATGAAGGTACGACTCCAGGAGGCACCTAAACTGACCTGACAGCTACTGCTAGGGGGAAAAACCCTTCTAACAACTGTGCACATGGCACACACACACCTACTTGGAATGGACATGAGCAATTACTCAAAGAAGAACTGAAGGTTAAAACAGACCACTCTGGTTAGCCCAGAGAAGCTGTAATGAACCTCATTGTTCAAGCTGTGCATGTGTCTCCGTCTGACCTGCTTGGCCAGATTCCAGATGAGAGCCCCAACTCCTTCCAGCAGCCAACTCTTATCCCCCACCTCTCCAGTCCTTTGTTCTTGAGCTGATGAATGTTGCTTAGCTCCTCTGCAGAAAGGTGCGGAAATCTATATCCCCACCTATGTCTCTTAGCCTGAACATAAGAACATAAGAATGGCCGTACTGGGTCAGACCAAAGGTCCATCCAGCCCAGTATCCTGCTTACCGACAGTAGCTAATGTCAGGTGCCCCAGAGGGAGTGAACCTAACAGGTAATGATCAAGTGATCTTTCTCCTGCCTTCCATCATCACCCTCTGACAAACAGAGGCTAGGGACACCATTCCTTACCCATCCTGGCTAATAGCCATTAATGGACTTAACCTCCATGAATTTATCCAGTTCTCTTTTAAATCCTGTTATAGTCCCAGCCTTCACAACCTCCTCAGGTAAGGAGTTCCACAAGTTGACTGTGCGCTGCGTGAAGAAGAACTTCCTTGTATTTGTTTTAAACCTGTTGCCTATTAATTTCATTTGGTGACCCCTAGTTCTTGTATTATGGGAATAAGTAAATAACTTTTCCTTATCCACTTTCTCCACATCACTCATGATTTTATATACCTCTATCATATCCCCCCTTAGTCTCCTCTTTTCCAAGCTGAAGAGTCCTAGCCTCTTTAATCTCTCCTCATATGGGACCCGTTCCAAACCCCTAATCATTTTAGTTGTCCTTCTCTGAACCTTTTCTAATGCCAGTATATCTTTTTTTAGATGAGGAGACCACATCTGTAGGCAGTATTCAAGATGTGGGCGTACCATGGATTTATACAAGAGCAATAATATATTCTCCATCTTATTCTCCATCCCCTTTTTAATGATTCCTAACATCCTGTTTGCTTTTTTGGACTACCACTGCACACTGCATGGACGTCTTCAGAGAACTATCCACGATGACTCCAAGATCTTTTTCCTGATTAGTTGTAGCTAAATTAGCCCCCTTAATATTGTATGTATAGTTGGAGTTATTTTTCCCAACGTGCATTATTTTACATTTATCCACATTAAATTTCATTTGCCATCTTGTTGCCCACTTAGTTTTGTGAGATCTTTTTGAAGTACTTCACAGTCTGCTTTGGTCTTAACTATCTTGAGCAGTTTAGTATCATCTACAAACTTTGCCCCATCACTTTTTACCCCTTTCTCCAGATCATTTATGAATAAGTTGAATAGGATTGGTCCTAGGACTGACCTTTGGGGAACACCATTAGTTACCCCTCCATTCTGAAAATTTACCATTTATTCCTACCCTTTGTTCCCTGTCTTTTAACCAGTTCTCAATCCATGAAAGGATCTTTCCTCTTATCCCATGACAACTTAATTTACGTAAGAGCCTTGGTGAGGGACCTTATCAAAGGCTTCCTGGAAATCTAAGTTCACTATGTCCACTGGATCCCCCTTGTCCACAAGCCTGCTGAGAGAAAACAGTCCTTTCCTCCCTTTTAATGGGTAACAATGCAGCATATAAGGGAAACTGAGGCACACAAATATTATAGAAAATTCCCACTTCGTCACACTTGGCATTATTGGTAAAATCACATTTAGCTAGAAGAATCTGATAGTTTCAGATCCTGAAATGGAGGGAGATGGAAGAGAAGACTTCTTCCTAGGAGGTTGAGCTGCTTGTGTCCCTTATTAGACAGAATAGCCTTTGGGTGTTGCTGCCTTCTTCTCTTCGGAGCTGCTTGTATCACCGAAGAGTTAGGTAGTGGGTGCGAGAATAAAACGAAGTGGATGGAACAAAGTAATGCTTCTTGGCCTTCTTTGCAGTGGGAGCACAAGAAGCAGAAGTGTGCCAAAGAAACTTTGCTGGGTCCCTGATGGCCTTGTTGACTTGGAGGGTCATCCAGCTAGGAGTGAAAGGCTGCACAATGTCCAGCAATTGTGCTGAGGCTCCTGAACTTCCACAAGCTGAATCTGGAGCTCGGACACCACTCTGTGCAGGAGCACCTCCTACTGTCTGAAGATGGAGTAACTGCCTCATCCAGTTAAAACGATGAAATTGTCCCCAGAGCTAGCTTGCTTTCATCTCCTAAATACTCCAACGGGCTGGCTGGTGTTGGCCAGGCAATGGTAAATAGGGCTCATGTATTGATCCTGGGTGTCTAGGAAAGGGCTCCCATGGCCCTCAGTAGTGCCAGTATGAGAGATCAACTGGCACGGGAGAAGGACCCCATAGCACAGGGTACTACCTGTCCCTTGCCAATCATGTCTGGCCCAAGGCCCAGACCCAGATCTTCTAAGGGCTTAGGTGCAGGGCCGCCTCTATCTGCTGCTACAGAGATGCCTGAGGCACTTCCGACTCATGGGAAGAAAAGGCTGGATCCTGGATTATTGGTGGGACTGAGAGTAGCAATGTCTGCATACCGAGGCTGGCAGGTGGGATGGGAGAACAACCTGCATCCTTGGGATAGCCTCTTCCTTTGGAGTAACAATGACCCGGAACAGAGATGGTTCCAACAGGAGAGATGAATGAGGACGGGGAGAGCAAAAATGTTCTCTGGGAGACATAGGTCTCAGGCTGCGCTGGGATGAAGGGAGAATCCATTGGTGGACCATCGGATCCGAAGCTTCTTTGGTCAGAGTAGAAGTCGGATCCATCTGGGGCCACATTATAGGCACCATGTTGACTCTAGATATGGAAGGGAGCACCAGAGTCTGTTTGTCCTTAGCTATTGGAACTAGTGCTGAACTGACAGTTCTGTATCCTTGAATGCCACTTTCTCCTGCTAAAAAGATTTACTTGTGCCTAAGTCCCTAGTGCCCACATGCGCAGGCTCTCCTGACTTTGACATGGCCAGGAAGAGATCCTCTTTCTTCTGGGCAGTCTTTGAAGACTGTTTATCCCTATGCCTATGAACAGGCCCCTTAATCTTATGGGAAGCCACCTTTTTAGGCTTAACAGTCTTAGCCTCCGTCCCTGCACTTGTGCTTAAAGGGGCACTGACCAGGGATTGGGGGTGGAGGGAAGGAGAGGCGGCCCCGGCCCCGATCTGACTGGAGTCTCATTGCTTTCTCCATCAAGTAATTAAGCCTTGGTTCCTGACTCAAATTCTGGAGACGCATCAGGCCGCCTTTCATGCGCTCAGTTTGGAGTACGAGGACAGCTATGGTGCATGTATGGACCAACGGCCACCGCTTACCAAAAATTCAAGACTCAGGAGCATGGTGCACATGCATACCCAAGTATGAAATAAACATAGGGACCATCACTCAAAGAAAAGTTGTAACATCATGTTTTGAAATAAATCAATTAAGTACATATTACCACCTTATCCAAACAAACTTGGTGAGAGAGCGATAACTGGAGCCTGAAGCTAATTTACTATGTTTTGAATGCATTCCTACCAGAAATAAGATCTTTATATTAGGAACCTAAGTTTAAAAAGTTTCATGATCATAGTAAACACTGTATTAATAGCTACCACTACTAAGAGCTTTTAAATATGTGGTTCCAAAATTTAACAAGTCCTTTTATGAATTAAAATCTGGACTGTAACTGATCTTTTCTAGGATTTAGTGGAAAGCAGAAATAGAAGGCCACCACCATTTTCATCAGGGAAAAAGTAAGAGCTATAATTATCTCAATCTTCAATTAACCAATGACAGTTATAGCAAGTTATTAGCTTATTTAACCCTACTTCAGTGTTCAGAAAATAGAAAGTATACATACTTTAAGATCTTCGTAGTCCACAATAAGAGGGGAAGCTGGCTCAGTGAGGATCTCTATGGCTTTCTCAGCACTGATGAGCTGCTGCTGTTCTACTTGAGAACGTCTACAACGGGTCATACGAAGTACACACACATCTAGGATGAAAAATTAAAAACTTTAAAAATCAGGATTTCTGTCAAATTATCTGGATTAATTCATAGACCAAAGATCCAACAGTTCTGTTGAACTAGAGTAGGATGTCCTCTCTCTCTGGAGTGCCAAAGGCAGGGCTTCAAAATGGAAATTGCACTGCCCAGTGATTTCCTGTTATTGGCATTTCCCAGTTTGAGATGTTTGGTTTGTGCTTCTTTTCCAGTACACACAAGAGGCAGTTCAGACTTCACCATGCCATGTCCCAAAAAACCCTCTCTAGATGAAAGCATCTAAAGCTGTAATGAAATGCTAAAATCTTATTAGCTGATTAAGCATAAATTCTTAACTATATACATGATTTCAAAGCAGCTAATGTAAAAATCACTCAAATGGTTTCTCAAATGGGAAAGACTGGGGAGAAAATCATAATTAGGTAACATTTATAGGCACACACAAATTGCCATACTGAATCAGATCCACAGTCCATCTAGTCCAGTATCCAACACTGGATACTTCAGAGGAAGGTGCAAACAACTTACATGAGGCAGATGTGGGATAAGTCACACCCTCCCCCCCAATTAATCCCTAGCAGTTAAACGATGTAAATACTGGAGCATAAGGCTTAATATCTCTTCCAACAATTGTTTGCATTAACTATAACACCTCTGGATAGTCCTATTATCCATAAGAGTGTCCAATCTCTTTTTGAATCTAGCTAAGTTTTTGGCCTCAACAACATCCTGTGACAATGAGTTCTACAGTTTAATTGCATACTGTTTGAAAAAGTATATTCTTTCAAGATAAACAATCCCAGTCGCTACAATTTCTCTTTATATAAGAATTTTTCCATGCCCTTAATCATTTTTATCGCCTTTTTCAGAACCCCATAGTCTATAATTTTTTTTTTTTTTTTTTAAGATGGTGTGATCACCACTGCACACAGTATTCTAGAGCAGTGTTTCTCAACCTTTTTGATACCAGGGACCTGCTTGCTGCTTTTCTAAACTGGGTCAGTGAAATCTCAGGGACCAGCGCTGGTCTACAGATCAGTCATTGAGAAACACTGTTCTAGAGGAGACTGCACTGTTGAGTTATACAATATTTTCCAATCTCCACCCCATTCCTAATGCATCCTAATATCTTGTTTGCTTTTCTGACTGCAGCTATACATTGAGCAGAGGTCTTCACTGAGCTGTCCACAATGACACTCAGGTCCCTTCCCAAGTTGACACAATTAATTTAGAAAACTATAAGGTATACAAGTAGTTAAAAGTTCTTTTGGATGTGCCTCAATTTGCACTTAGCAAAATATGGTTACTCACCTTCTCCTAACTTGTGTTCTTCGAGATGTGTTGTTCATGTCCATTCCAACCAGGTGTGTGCGCGCCGCGTGCACGCCAGCCGGAATATTTTTCCCTTAGCAGTGTCCGTAGGGTCAGCCTGGGCGCCTCCTGGAGTCGCACCTTCATGGCGCCCAATATAGGGCCCTGATGACCCTCCACCCCCTCAGTTCCTTCTTGCCGGCTACTCCGACAGAGGGGTAGGAGGGTGGGTATTGGAATGGTCACGAATAACACATCTCGAAGAACAACAGTTATGAGGTGAGTAACCGTTTTTTCTTCAATTGTTCATGTCCATTCCAACCAGGTGACTCACAAGCCAAAGTTCAGGAGGTGGGGTTGGAGTCATCTACTGATTGGAGCACAGCTCGTCCAAAGGCTGCATCGTCTCCAGCCTGTTGTGTGATCGCATAGTGTGTCGTAAATGTGGATCACGTTTTCACTCTGCAGATTTCCTGGGTGGGGACCTGCGCCAGGAACGCAGCTGAAGCGGCCTGAGCCCTGGTGGAGTGAACAGTGATCGGCGGGGCGGCCACCTTCACCAGGTCATAACACTCCTGAAATGCAGGATGTGATCCACAACGAGATGTGCTGGGATAAGACAAGGAGGCCCTTCATTCTGTCCGCCACTGCTACGAAAAGCTGGATGAACTTCCGGAACGGCTTAGTCCTCTATGTCAGGGGTGGGCAAACTTTTTGCCCTGAGGGCCACATCGGAGTTGCGAAACGGTATGGAGGGCCGGGCAGGGAAGGCTGTGCCTCCCCAAACAGCCTGGCCCCTGCCCACTATCCACCCCTCCCACTTCCCGCGCCCCTCAGAGCCCCCAACCCATCCAACCCCCCCTGCTCCTTGTCCCCTGACCATCCCCTACCCCCCACTCCCTGTCCCCTGACAGCCCCGACCCCTATCCACACCCCCGCCCCTGACAGGCCCCCCGGGACTCCCATGCCTATTCAACCCCCCTGCTCCCCATCCCCTGACCCCCCCCCCGAACCTCCACCCCATCCAACTGCCCCCTGCTCCCTGTCCCCTGACCGCCTGCCCCTAATCACCCCCTATCCAACCACCCCCTGCTCCCTGTCCCCTGACTGCCCCTCAGGACCCCTACCCCATATCTAATCCCACTACTCCCCGCCTCCTTACCATGCCGCTCAGAGCAGCAGGACTGGCTTATTGGAAAGCTTAGAAGGTGGGCGGGCGCAAGCCGCGCAGCCCGGAGCGCTCCCCACGCAGCAGCGTGGCTGCAGGGGAGGGGGGACAGCAGGGGAAGAGCCGGGGACTAGCCTCCCCGGCCGGGAGCTCAGGGGACAGGCAGGATGGTCCTGCAGGCCGTAATTTGCCCACCTCTGCTCTATATAGAAGGCCAGCGCCCTGCGTACATCCAATGTGTGAAGCTTACGCTCCCTATTGCAGGAGTGTGGCTTGGGGTAAAACACTGGGAGGAAGAGGTCTTGGCTCATGTGGAACTGGGAGACCACTTTAGGGAGAAAGGCCGGATAAGGCCTGAGCTGGATCTTATCCTTATAAAAAACTGAAAGGGGGCTCAGATCTAAGGGCCCTAAGCTCCGACACTCTCCTAGCTGAGGTTTTTGCCACGAGGAATGCCACCTTGTAAGAGAGATAGAGCAGGGAGCACATTGCCAGCGGCTCAAATGGAGAGCCTGTAAGCCTGGTGAGGACCAGGTTAAGGTCCCAAGCCGGGACAGACTGATGTGTTTGCGGGAAGAGTCTGTTGAGGCCTTTGAGGAAACGGCTGACGATAGGGTTTGCGAAGACCGAGAAGCCATCTGCACCTGGATGGAAGGCGGAGATGGCAGCCAAGTGGACTCTTGATGACAAGGAGAGGTCCTGTTGTTTAAGGTGAAGGAGGTAGTCCAGTATGAACGGTATCGGGGCGAGCATTGGTGAGTGAGTGCGTTGCTCCGACCAGAGAGAGAACCTCTTCCACTTGGCAAGGTACATTGCCCTCGTAGAGGACTTCCTACTGCCAAGGAGAACTTGCCTGACTTGATCCGAGCAGGTCAGTTCCGCAGTATTTAGCCATGGAGCATCCAGGCCACGAGGTGGAGCGACTCTAGGTTCGGGCGCTGGGACCAACAGCAAGGTGAGCGGGGTCGCCATGGACATTTCCAGGAGTGATGTAAACCAGTGCTGGCGTGGCCATGGTGGAGCTATCAGTATGACCCAGGCCTGGTCCCTGCGGATCTTGAGGAGTACCTTGTGGACTAGCAGTATCGATGGGAAAGCAGGCGGTCCCCCCACAGGAGAAGGAAGGCATTCACGATGGCCCCTGGGCTGTGATTCATGAAGGAGCAGAACAGTTGACATTTCCTGTTGCTGCATGTGGTGAACAGGTCTACCTGGGGAGAGCCTCAGATGGAAAATTGAGCTCACTACGTCCAGCTGGAGGGATCACTTGTGGCTGTGAAAAGTTCATCTGAGACTGTCCACCAACTCGTTCTGTACTCCGGGGATGTATGAAGCCTGCAGGTGTATTGAATGCTCTACGCAGAAGTCCCACAGTGCGAGGACTTCCCGGCACAGGGGAGAGGAGTGTGCACCCCCGTTTGCTGATATAAAACATCGCCGTGGTGTTGTTCAGGAGGACTGCAGCCATGTGTCCCAGCAGTTTCAGGCAGTTCCTTGCTGTGGTCGTGGGGAACTGCCGGAGGCCCCGCATAATGTCCCCTAGCGACCGGAACCTGGCTTCCGGGAGGTACGCCCTGGCTTGGGTCTAGTCCAGTACTGCACCTATGAATTCTACCCTCTGCACAGGGGACATAGTGGATTTGGCCTCAAACTAGGTCTCCTTTTCAACGAGGAAGGTCCTTCTTATGAAGTCGACCTGATCCTCCACCTGGGCTCTGGAGCGGCCTTAGATCAGCCAGTCGTCGAGGTATGGGAAAATTTGTATCTGGCGGTTGCACAGGAACGCCGCGATGACAGCCATGCATTTGGTGAAAACTCGAAGGGCTGCTGACAGGCCAAAAGGGAGGACGGCAAACTGATAGTGGCTGTTGCTCACCACAAATCTGAGGTAACGTCTGTGTTGTGGAACTATTGCTATTAGGAAATACGTGTCCTTGAAGTAGAGGGCGGCGTACCAGTCTCCTGGATCCAATGAGGAGATAATGGAGGTTAGCGAGACCATGTGGAACTTGAGCCTTTTTACAAACTTGTTGAGCTGCTGCAGGTCCAGGAAGGGTCTGAGGCCCACCCTTGGCTTTCGGTATTAGGAAATACTGAGAGCAGAAGCCCTTGCCCCTTAGCTCCTGAGGAACCTCCTCCACTGCCCCCACCGAGAGGAGGGACTGCACTTCCTGAATTAGAAGTTGCTCATGAGAGGAGTCCCTGAAGAGGGACAGGGAAGGGGAGTGGAGGGGTGGGAGGGCACAGAATTGGATGGAATATCCCCTCTCTACTGTGTGGAGCACCCAACGGTGTGAGGTGATACGGGACCAGGCACGGTAGAAAGGGGATAGATGGGATGAGAAGGTAAGAGGGGATGGATCCAGAGTCCAAACTGGTGAGCCGTCCTCGACCGCACCTTCAAAAGGGGGGGTTTGGGCCCGGGCGGAGGCTTGGACTGACCAGAGTTCTGCCCCGAGGAGGGATGCTGCCTCCTCCTCCTACCACTCCTGCTTCGCCTACGAGGAGCGTC